CTATGGTTAGCGTTAGGGTTGTCGGTGAGGAGTCGACTGTTCCGACAGACAGCAGAGATTCCTTCCTTGAGCTCGGAATGTAGGGTTGACAAAAATCCTGCCGAATTTCCATCGCCAACTGTCTGGTGCGCAATCGGGAGCATCGATGTTCCTTTCTGCAGACTCACTGCACTCCCCACGCGCCGCAGGATTTTTGTCAACCCTCGCCTTTCGGGCCGCAGGATTTTTGTCAACCCTCGCCTTTCGGGCCAAGCAGGAATCTTTTAAACTCAAACTTAAATGCCCTTTTTTTAAAGGGAAAATCTGCATGATTTCTAATCTGTTATCTATATGATTAGGAATTGTAAGTAATAAAGACCTTAAGGAATACAAAAAATACAAATAAGGGGCCGTCCATAAATTACGTAAGGCTCTTAGGGGGGGGGGGGGGGTCTATAACAGCCTTTCGGTGCCTTACGAGAGGGGAGGCCTCGGCTGAGCCTTACGTCAACTTTTTAGCCTTTATTTCAAAAAAATGCAAAAATCCATTTTTCTTCAGGTTGATAATAAAATTCAAGATGAAATACCTAGAGGAAATCAGGAAACCACCGATTGCTGACCGGTCGAACCATGCCCTATATCATTTCTTTTGATTCCCACTTCTCCACTCATTCTCACGATGATGAGTGGTGACTTCATCCTTACGTCAACTTTGTCCTTTTAACTATTTACTCCCAAGGCCAAAAAAAATTGGCCTCCGGCCAATTTATGCGCGGCGCAAGCGCCGCGTACCGGCGCTTCGCGCCGGCATGTGGGGGGGCTTCGCCCCCCATCATGGTGCGAAGATCGCACAAGACTTTCTCGCTTTTGCCGGCGCTCCGCGCCGGCATAGACACTTTTACTGCAATATTTAGAAAAATACTGCCAATTTCACAAAATCATAAAGTTTGATTTGAATTTTGATCGCAGGATAATAGTTATGAAATTTTTATTCAAACCACTGTACTATATTGTAAATGTCTTCGAGATATAGGATGAATTCATACATTCGGACTCGACTTGTCGATAGAGTACCTGTATAGCGAGAGTATGGACAGATGTGAAACTCCGAAAATCCATCAAGCCTTCACCGATGCTTCTGCGAATAAAGTTAGGGCCCAGAAATGCAGCCAACCTATGAATTTCCATTATCCAGAACGATTTACTAATACTATTGTTACGAACTGTCGTTTATTAAGCACGTGTTTGACTCAGTTTTTGCATACATTTACTCAATTTCGCGGAAGAACGCTCATTTCTGTACATTCTTTGCCATCATGGTTAGAATTGGAATCTGCAGACTGGCAGTGAAATTTTGTGCGTTAGAAGTTGGTTAGAAGGGTGGCTGCACTTTTGGGCCCTAAGCCCTCCATGAAGCGATCTGTCCATACTCTCGCTATACAGGTACTCTACTTGTCGATATTATGAGGCATCTTCAATTAAATATGTAATTGATTAATGATGCCTCCTATTAAAGACGGCGATCCGTAAAAATCTTAGCTTTTCTACGATTCATTAGGATCCATTAGATTCATTGGCATCATACTTCAGATACGATTATATGTTATAATCTTTCCTTAAGCACGGTCAAAAGCCATCAAAAATCTACTTCAATGGGTAGATTGACTATTCGATGTTTAAATAGTCTTAAAACTAAACGGTTTTCGCTTAGCATCGTCCAAATTTTAAATTTGGCGGGCGAATCTACCTGCTGGTAATGGTTCACCACCCGCCCGCCAAGAGCGCCAGTTCCTTAGCGCGTATCCCCGAGTGCGCCTAACGGGCGAAATCCGAACGAAAAATATACACCTTTTCGCAGGTGTACTTTACGGATAGGACCGAACCTATCCGGAGATAACCGAAGCTGCCCGAACGCAAAGGTACACGATGGTGACGTCATTTACCGATGGAGCCCGAATGTGACGCACGAAAAGCGCTGAGTTACACCAAAATAGGCGGCAAATTACAAAAACACAGAAATCAATTCGGTAGCGAAGAAATTAAGAATCAGTCCCAAGCAGTATTAAAGAGTCCTTTTCTTTAATAAACTCTGTCAAGTCATTTAAACCATTTGAGCCGTAGAATCTGAATAATTTTTAACCGGTAGTTTTATATTACTCACCTCTAGTTTTATTTCAGCTTCAGCTGAATTGCTGTTCCTGTGAGAGGCGGATTAGATAAATTTTTTAATTAAATCTTCCAGGAAACTGAAGTTAAAATAGTGTAGATAGTAAGACTCTTGCAATATTGTGGAAGCGATTAGGTAGGTACCTACCTACTTGCTAGGTAACTTAAAATTCTACGGAGAATTCCAAAGCAAAGAATGTACCTAGGTATCATTATTTGGATCATTGTGCTGAAAAGTTGTTTTAAATTGCTATATTGCTTCCTCAGTCAAAATTAAAATTGCAATTACACTACAGGAGATCATATCTTTGTCCTATGTAGGAATATGGCTGTTCGAAACTGGATTAAGAAAGTGTCCAGAGATGGGATTTTCTCCCATTATTGCTTTAAAATATTAAATTTCTGATAGTCATGCAGCCAAAATAAAAAACGAAGTATTTGGTAAAATGAAGGAGGCACAAAGAGGATTCTTTCATGCAGCTATACATCAGAAATTCCCCCCAAGGTCTTAATGTATCATTTTGTGAGCTAAGAGTATTTCCTGTCTGCCACAGATTTTATTTTTGAAGGGAGTTCAATTCAAAGCGGCACATTAAGTATCATCCTGTGGATGAACCTACTGATTAATTTATGGACAATTTTAAATTGAAAAAAAATATAATATTTTCGAAAAGCTTAATTATATTAATAGTCTCTATGTTAATATTAATTTTAGTTTCTTTTTTTAAAATATCAGTTTTCAATGCCCAATTGCGAAATGGGAAGATGACTTAATTTAGAAGTCATACAGAGGATATACTATATTTACTTTTCTTAAACTTGAAAAATGTCTTTTGAAGAGAGCAATTAACAGGAGGAATTATTTTGAAACACCTCAAAATGTTTCACATTTGACAGCAAATATATTGGTGTGTTTGCTGAAGGAAATTCACTATTTTAGGGGGAAAAAAAGGCTTCAAAGTGCCTTGATTTGAAGCCTTCTCGAGAGTTCCTTTTGCTCACTGAAATATTTTTGAAAATGGTGATATCAAGAAACATCTTGGAAGTTTGAACTTCGTTCTCAACAAAAATCTTCAAGTGAAATTGAGTCCTGATATAGTCTTGTCATTCAGGAAAATCATATGTAGACGGGAGGTAAAAGAGAAAAGCAAAGGATTTGTCTTAAGTAAACACTTTTTATATTCTGTTTTTCTTTTTTATAAAAAATTCATGAAGACAATATAGATACAAAAATAAAAGAAAAAAAATTAACAATAGAAAATCAATGTGTATGCTTGCTTTTAGAATAGGTAACTAGCATTAGAAGGTTGAATGCGACAGCTATTGGTTTGTCAAAAACATCTTGCACCAAAGGTCTGCATGAACCTGCAACATAAAGAAAACGTTCATTTAGCGCATTCTTCAAGACTTCAAGACAAGTAACTAAGGCTACACACAAAAAAAAAAATTCAAACAAAGCATACTTGACTTAAAAGGATGGGGAAAAAACCCAATAGTCAATGAAAAAAGGTCAAAATTGATGGCATGCAAGACCCACAGGGTGTGAAGTTGGGCCAAATATTGTGAATGTATGCACACATGATGTTATAGGGACAGTGCTCCAAGAATAATTAATACGAAATAAAATGACTGAAAATTTAGTACGAAGGTAAGAAAAGTCAGAAATAAATAAATATAAATAAAATAAATTTAAATAAACATAAAAGAACAAAAAAAAGGCTAGATCTGACCAGGAAAGAATACTAAGCGTCTCACAAAGGTAAAATCACTGAAAACTGAGCATACTTCTACCGAAGCTTTGTCATAACTTAAACTACGTGTAAAAAATTTAAAAAAAGAAGTAAAATGAAAGTGGGGGATTTGTACAGGGAACCTCGAGCTGTATAGGGGCTCACAAATTTAAAATCACAGAAAAATGAGCATACTTCTACCGAAGCTTTGTCATAACTTAAACTACGTGTAAAAAATTTAAAAAAAGAAGTAAAATGAAAGTGGGGGATTTGTACAGGGAACCTCGAGCTGTATAGGGGCTCACAAATTTAAAATCACAGAAAAATGAGCATTCTTCTACCGAAGCTTTGTCATAACTTAAAATACGTGTAAAAAATTTAAAAAAAGAAGTAAAATGAAAGTGAGGGATTTGTACAGGGAACCTCGAGCTGTATAGGGGCTCACAAATTTAAAATCACAGAAAACTGAGCATTCTTCTACCGAAGCTTTGTCATAACTTAAAATACGTGTAAAAAATTTAAAAAAAGAAGTAAAATGAAAGTGGGGGATTTGTACAGGGAACCTCGAGCTGTATAGGGGCTCACAAATTTAAAATCACAGAAAAATGAGCATTCTTCTACCGAAGCTTTGTCATAACTTAAAATACGTGTAAAAAATTTAAAAAAAGAAGTAAAATGAAAGTGAGGGATTTGTACAGGGAACCTCGAGCTGTATAGGGGCTCACAAATTTAAAATCACAGAAAACTGAGCATACTTCTACCGAAGCTTTGTCATAACTTAAAATACGTGTAAAACTTAGCATACTACTACCGCAGCTTTGACAGAGGTGTACATATAGTGTCTAAAAATATCTACATCAAAGAACATATTAGGGTCCTCATTT